TAGCCCAGTGCCTTGACCCACTTACTTCCCAGCTCTACCCTCCACCAGGATAACCCTTCTCATCTGCCAAGTCCCTTCAGAAAATATCTTCCATTGTATGTTATGAAATATGCACATATATCTCCTTTGCATTAAGAACATGGAATTAATGATATAGCATCTGACTGAATGACTATTGTCCTAATATGTTTTCTTTTAGAACGTCAAGTCTTGGAACAAAATGAATTTGAGCAATCTTCAGAAAATTCATAAGTAAACTAAATATCCATTCTTTAAGCCAATACTGATGGGCAGGAGATTAGGTAAAATCCAAAGTAAAGAATTTATTTACTGTCAGAGGTACCTAACCAACCTTGAGTGGACTGAGTGGAGGGAAAAGGAAGCATATATACGTCAGGTGGAGGGAAAGAAAAGACATGACTATATCGAGAGTCCTACATTAATACTTATTCTGTCTTTAGTTCCTGAAGACAATAGTAAACAAATATGATCATGAAATAATATTTAATGAGACTGTATAATTATTAAATATTTTAACCAGTAAAAGAATTAGGATTTTCACATTATAGAAATACCTCCTGTTATGAAGTAGAAAGAAGATTCTAGGACTTGAAAAGGGGAAAATTCTAATGAAATGACAGAAATTTATAAAAAAAAAGATTTTTAAAAATGCAATTTAATGTTAGTGCATCTTTTGAAGGGAGCTGCGTGCAGCACAGCCTGAGGGGAGTTGAGCGGCTAACCCAAAGGTGGTGTCTCTGGTGGTTCAAATCTGCCCGTTGCTGCTTGGGAGAAAGAAGGGCAAGCTTCCTAGAACTCACTGCAGGCTCAGCAATGAGCCAGTCCTGACTCGATGGCAATGAGCCCGAGTTTGTGGTGTTTGGGAGGTTTTGGGTCGTTTTACTGACTTTGGCTGTTTGCTATCACAGTCATGGGTGGAGAGTGCTTCCCAGTCACTGATGGAGCATCTTACTTGTTAAATCGTTCCATTTCTTGGACCAACACAGTATTCATGCTCTCTTCATACATCACGGGATACTTTATCAGTGTTGCTTCAAGGTCAAAATCATTTGGAAGCTGAAAAATAGATTTTGAAGATGACACATCACTCTCACAATGGATTGTTATTTTTATTTGGCTATAATATTGATAACACATAATCGATAATATCAGGGAGTTTCTATGTATCTGGCAGGAGTCTCTGGATGGTGCAAAGGGTTCAGTGCTTGACTGCCAGCTCAAGTTTGGCAGTTTAGGCCCACACAGATGCTCCTAGTAAGACAGGCCTGGCTGGCAATGCCCTTCTAAAAGGTCACAGCCGTGAAAACCTTGGCAGCATACAAGCATTATTGCTTGCTGTCCTGTTAAACTTTGCCATTGCTACAGGGATGAGAAGATAGCTCATTGTGGTTTTGAGTTGCATCTCTCTTATTGCCAGTAATTTTGTGCATTGCCTGATTTGTCTGTTGGCCATTCAAATATCTTCCTTTTCTTGTCTTTTGCCCATTTTGCAATTGAGTTATCAGTCTTTTCCTTGTGGAGGCCCTGTAGTCTGAGATGTCATTGTCAAATGCTTTTTCCCAGTCAGTATGTTTTCTTTTCACACTAATGGAAAAAGGTTTTGAGGCACACAGGGACTTAATTTTTAGAAAGTCCCATTAATCAATTTGAATGTTATTTTTAATTTATAAAACTGTTTGCCATTTAATAAATATCACATTTCTTTCCAATCAATTATACACTGGCTCCAAGTAGCCTAGTTTACCCTATTATTGATTAATTTTGTATAAACATAGCAAAGGAAGAGAAGGTCACTAAATGTCTGATTTCTATGAGACACCTCCGACACTCAAGAAATGGTGGAGGTGTCCTGCTGCAAGACCAAGCTGCGGGACATTGGGATTCATTCTGTAGAGGGGAAGGGAGTTCCCTAATATTGAGCTTTCCCAAGTGCTAATTCCTGGGTGATACAAAAGAGTGGACTTGGGTCCTACTGCCCAGTTGCTGTGGATTTGATCCCAACTCATGGGGAGATGCCACATGCATTAGAGCAGCTCTCACCTCTGTGTACTTTTCAGTGGCTGATTTTTCAGAAGTAGACTTTCAGGCCTTTCTTCCAACATGCCAGTGGGTGGACTTGAACCTCCAACCTTTCAGTTAGCCCCTCTGTCAGTTACGAGATGAAACTCTTGTTTCACCTCTCTGACTCTCTGTTTCTCATTTAAGAAATATAGAGATAATGATAGGACTTACTTTGGAGGGGTATTAGACAATCTGGCTTGAGGATCATAAGCTTTTTAAAGTACTTTTAGTTTTTAACAAGGAAAGAATCTTTTCTTTTACTTTTCCATAATTTTTGGACTCATGTACTTATAACTTGTTAGTCAAATTTGTGTCTTCTAGGTTGCAACA